AGATGTCGTGCATGGGTGACTAAATGGCATATATGTTGATCAGCTGTAATTTGGGAGTGAACTGAGACTTTAGTTGCCTTCTCCCGACTAAATAAAACTGGAGGTATAACACTCTCCCAAATGGAAAACTATTGTTTGTTAGAAAACGTTGGCAATTATATTTCTGATGTTGTCACCTCCCTACTTACAATGCATTTTCCTCATGTTCATTACAGGGAGACAGAGTTATTCTTCTCAAAAGAGTTGATCAGAACTGGTACGAAGGTAAAATCCCAGGAACCAACAGACAAGGCATCTTCCCTGTTTCCTATGTAGAAGTCGTGAAGAGGAACACAGCCAAAGGCGCCGAGGACTACCCCGACCCTCCAATACCCCACAGCTACTCGAGTGATAGAATCCACAGCTTAAGTTCCAACAAGGTAAGAAGACATTTAGCATATTAGTAGACCACTGGGGAGCTTGGAGTAAGATAATAGCTGATATTAGGTCATTAAGAACATCATCTTTATTGCAAAGCAAGGGATTTACATGTTATGCTTCCAAGTTTGAGTGACCAGTCAAGTCAATATAAATTTTTCTTATGGGTGCTGGCATAAAGGTTTAATGCTTGATTTTGAGAATTTCATTTTCGAATTAAAATACTGAAAGAGAAAAATTAATATCATAAGAGCCTATGTTATAGATAAACATACCTGCTTTCTGAAACTCAGGTTTTTTGAAACGTGATTTTTTTCTAAAGCTTAATTTTATATATGTATATATTAAATGGATTATATACATATGTATGTATGCATATATGCATCTATAGATAAATCAATAGATCCAAAAAGGTTTATTTCAAAGTACATGGTAATTAGGTTGAAAAATTCTGTATAAGTCTTGAGATTTTTTAATATAGAAAGAGAAATAGAGTAAAATTTTTAAAGTGTTAATTAGACTGAATGAAAATATCATTGGTCATTAGGGGCCCTCATGTGTAGTTCATAGTTTTAGGATAATTATGTACCAGGTCTACTATCTCACTTGAGCTAGTGGCTGAAGATCATTATCTTTCTCAATATCTGGTCTAAAAGGAACTTTGCACCCTGAACTGGTTAACTAGAAAAGGCTATTGTACTTTCTTTACTCATAATGTGAATTTCTTTTCTTAATTTTCTGTTAAGTTATAATATAGTGTGCTCTTCTTATGGATGGTATTTAGGGATTTCTTTCACCTTTTTATTAACCTCCAAGTATAAAACTTTAAATTACCAAGGAATTAGTTTCAAAATACTATAAGTATTTCAGAACATTTAAAAAGTGTATGATGTTGCATAATTTATTATTTTAATAAATAATTAAGATCAAGGCTAGGACATGGGAAATAAACCATCTAGAGCCAGCAACATAACATCAACATTGGATGTTGAACAGTCATTTCATGTTCCAATGCGAGACCACCTCAAGTAGCACCGCCAGTGCCCTAACCCTCTCCTTGAAAATGAGTCTTAGGATTTCACAAAAGCAAACACTAGTAATCTAAGATCTCCAATTTTAAGAAAACATTTTCTTTAAAAGGGCAAAGGTTGGCATTATATTCATTCTATGTCTCTTTGTAGAATGGGTTTCAGTTGCGGGGTAATTATTCTCAATCCATTATCATTTGGTAATGGAACCATTTGGTACCGTCCAATTTTGGTTGATTGGTTATAAAGTTTTCCAGAATCTTCTTCAGTATATCTACTTCACTACCAGAGCTTAGCACTTAGAGATCAACATTCTTCCCTTTAGTAGTTCCTACTGATAAATGAAAAGATAAGAATCCTCATCTGCATATTTGCCTTATCCACTACTCAGTCATCTTAAATGAATGAACTACCAAATAAATTCAAAGCAACTATACTTTCAAGTAAAATTTTATAAGAAAGAATAAGCATGTATCTCTACAAAGGCTTATTTTAACATTTAAGAAATTCTTCCATAATGTCCTAATTAATATTGGCAATGTAATATTTTAGATCACAGTGTTTTAATCTTTGTTGTGAATATGATTTAAATGTATTTTCAGTTTCCTAAGTTTTTTCTTAGAACACCAGATTTTACATTTTATATAAATAGATGAATGTACAAATTTCACTGATAAATAGTGTTTTATTCTCACTGCTGGGGGAAAATATATTGAAAATCTTACATCCATACTTTGGAAAAAAATTCTTAATGGTTTTATTCCCTCTGGTAATCTGTGCTGTGATATTGGCTTGATGAAGGAAACTTCTCGGTAGTGTAGAACCCCATCATTTTCAGACAAAGAACTATCATGTACTTCTAAACGACGATATCCAACGTATGTTACATATCCTATTTTCTAACTGATATTTTTAAATAAAGGAAGGAATTTATTAAGTGACTTATGAATCACTCTTTGACACACTCTATTACATTTCTTGATATACTGTATTTCAGTGGTGTCTCAAATATGAGTTGATAATATTTCTGATATTTCTGCTTTTAGTACAATAGAATCCAATTCTAATGATTTTTGTATTATAGGTATATTTTTGTGATATGGGTATCCCAGGATACTTAATTTGACTTTCAGTAGAAATCAGTCTATTATAAAGCTAAGCGCTTTGAACCTGTTAAACATAGATTAGTGGTGGTAATGGCACTGCAATAGTAATAGTGGTCGGGGTAGAATTTAAAGATCTTTCTTTCTCATCCACATAATATTCCTGACCATGAGAGAAAGTGAAAGTGAAAAGTAATCATCTTGAATTTATTATATATTTCACAGGCTTTCAAAATCTATTATTGTGTTGCATAGCCTAGAGCATACAGTAGGACTCTGGCCAATAAGGGAACTTCTCTAGATTATCAAATAAGACTTAGGTCATGTCTATCTTATTAAAAATTAAATATATACAGGATTTGATAGGAATGTCTGTCTGTCCAGTAATAGATCAAGTGTAGAGTATTTCTTTGTATCAGGTGCTAAGAAGCCTTAGTGCTGAATCTTCTATAAGATGCTCACATGAGTTTTATGGCACTTTGCCTCATTTATCCCGCCACATGGTGACATGGCATATTTGCTTTAAAAAACACACACAGCTAAATAAATTCTATAAATGCCCCATTCCTATTATAGGACACAGAAGTCAAAGGTTAAGTAGAGGTGTGTTGTGCGCTGATACATACTAAGGCCCTGGCACCCAGAGGGCTGAGTGCAGAACAACCAATTCACCCTGAACAACCAACCAGAAAGCACATCTCCATACTCTTTCTTGAACATTTTTTCTTTCCAAACCAAAATCATTACCTGGGAAGAACTAAAGTAAAATGTCACCCACCAGCCTCTCTCAAGGCCTTCACACGCATGGCATGAACCATCGTCCAGCCCAGTAGCAATAGATACATGTATTAGAATGTTACTAGGCAGTGCTTCTAGACCTTTGAATGAATTTACATAAAAGTTCTGTTTTGTTCAATATATCCAGAATATAGCAATAATATTAAGATACACAGAAGTCTACTTTTACTCAGAAGATTCAGCTTAAATGATACCTCCCCAAGTTTACATATAAAATGTCAAGCTATTGAGAGAGGTGGGAGTCCTAGAAGAAGATTTTTCTCACTAACATCATATGCTCCCTTCCAATATAATCACTTACTTTGAATTTTTTAAAAACTTTGAAGTCAAAAAAAATAATAAAATAAAAATAAAAACTTTGAAGAATTAGTGTAAGTTCAGTTTCATTCTGATCATGGGTTTCTGTTCTCAAAACATATTTTTCCAAACTTACTCATTTAGAAATGTGTTCATATATAAAGCTGTAAAAATATTTTATGCCATATGTTATAATCACCTGGCGAACATAGGTGAGAAAATTATGGGAAGTTCATGGGATTGGGCACTGCTTCAGGCAGCAAGAACACCTCACAAATTCAGCAGCTGAGAAAGGTTTAATTATTGGCTTTCATTCTACATTAATATCATTTCAAAGTCATTTCTACTACTAAGTCAAAATCTGGGAACCTAGTTTAAAAGAGGTAGTCTGTTAAATGAAATTAAATCTCTTAAGTGTTCACTGTCTATACTTATAATCGCTATGACAGCTCTATTTTGTCATTTGACACTGACGACCCCTTTCGAATACTAGGAGAGTTTCATTTTCCAAATAAATTTCTAACATGATAGTGGTTTTATGTAGGAAAAATTCAGCAAAACATCTTCAGATCTACACCATAGCATAAAATACTGTTTTGTATTCACTACCTTCCCTGCATTTCTGTCTCTGTGTTTTGATGCACTGTTGTTATTTTCTTGGTTTCTTCCTTTCTTTGGCTTCACACTCGCTGCTCATGTTTAAGTTGGCTCCCAGGGAACCTGCCCCTCCTCTCACGCACAGAGCTTCTCCTGGCCCAGATAACGGCGGAGCTCAGCAGGGGCCTACCCAGGGGTGGCCGTCCCTGACAGCTCAGTGTCCTCCAGCAAACCCTCTGATTCCTTTCCTGGACAACTTCTTGGATGAATTAGAGAAGCTTAGTGCTTTCACCTTACCAGCTGACCAAGCCGAGCCAAATATCCCAGAGGAGATCACCCTCGAAATTAAAGAGGAACCCTCAGTTCCCCTCCCATGGCCTCCAGCAGCTGTACCGGCCAAATCACCTTCCCCTCGGCCACCCTTACGGGGCACAGGTGCGACCTCAACTCCAGTCCAGCCCTATGAGACAACGCCAGTCCAGGACCCCAGAAAGACAGCTCAGAACAAGTGTGCAGATTTGACAACAATGAGAAAAGGCTTTGCGAGCCCTGAAAAGGTGTCTGAAGTCCTAGGGGATAAGTTTGTGGCCTCTGCACACACTAATGTGGGTCCCTTGCCCCAAACCCTCCCTGTCATTGGAGAGGAAGAGGAGGAACTCTGTGAGGGGCTGATGTCAGGCATCCGAGGAGGGCTTGAATCTCAAGACCCAGATGCCTCGTGGTGGGGCCATGATGGCCCCGAGGTGAAACCAAGTCTGTACATCGAAGAGGAGGAAGAGGAGCGGAAACCCGGCTGCTCACAAGGTGCAGTAGCCACCCTCCCAGGCCCTAGAGCCCCCAAGGAACACAGCCGTGCAGCTCACACCAATAAGGAGGTATTTCAATGTTGCCTAATCCCTGAACAACTAACCTGTCCTACGACGATTAGCTAGGACAGTTAATCATATTAATAAACATTGCCTTAGATGTTGTCCTTTCAAGAAACAAGCACTATGTAAGTCGGGGTGGAGGAGTGTATGGCAACACAGCAAATTTTAATAAGATGATGGAAATTATAATTCCATTATTTATGTATAGTTATACATTCATATTTAAGGTGGGTTATACTATCATTTTAGAGATGAGGAAATTGATACAGAAAAGAAAGGGAAGGGAAGGGAAGGGAAAGAGAGGAGGGAA